TTCAATGTATCTCGCTGTATTCTATGTATTTTATTATATTCACTGTCTCGCCATATTCCATCAATGTATTCATAATTTTTTTTAATTTATATATTTTATGTATTCAGATTTATAATTGTGTTTGTTGAGTTATATTAGGAGTCTATTGTGTTAATTGATTCACTTTCCGTTTTAAAACAGCTGAATAGACCATGAATTGCGCTATTTACGTTACTGTATTCACAAATACATATCGTGAATACAGTCGAATACAATAATCAGTCTAGCTGTGATCTCCTGTTTCACGCCGTGAATACAATCGAGTACAGTCAAATACAATAATCTGTCTAGCTGTAATCCCCTGTTTCACGCCGAGAAAAAATGCTACTGTATTCATGAATACAATAGCTTAAATACATCCAATACACTCTAAAAAACCTAAAAACATTGCTATAGGAAGTAATATAGTAAATGATAGCTACAACTAGCTAATAACCACTAAAACATAATGGTTTCTGAAAATTTCTCATTTTTTTTCTACTCCTTTTGACCATTTATCTTTTTTGGGACCATTCATTTGTCCCAATGAAGCGTTGTATTGAATGACCCCGTAGAGTCCTCTCTATGGAAAGTCACAATAATTACTATCGTTTGCTTTTATTATTAGTAAAGAAAAAAACAATTGTAACATACAACCGTTTCGTTTTATCTTTTTTTTTTTTTTGCTAAACCGTTTCGTTTTATCAGTAAAGGCTAAGATACTATTATCTCTTCCCCTTTCATTTAGTTAACACTAGTATAAGAACCCGCACGATGCGCGAAAATTTAACAGAATGTTATTCTTATAAAATTATGATCTAATATATCATATTAATTTAATAAATATTAGTTGTATTTTATTATTTAATATAGTGTTAAGAAATATAATACAATCTATAAAAAATTAAAGGATACACATCATATAGTAATCAAATATATTATTTGTTCCTTTTTATTTTTAAAATTGAAATTAGCAAGTACTTAGTACTATTGATACTTTTCTTGAGTTTTATTTATTTACTTTTATTTTTTATTTAATTCAAAATGTAAATATCATAACATTATCTCAATCCCCCTCTTTTTCGTACATTCTTTTCTACTGTAAAACTTATTTGATTAGTTTTCAGATTTTGTAGTTTATTAAATATCTAAATAATGTAATATTATTTTTACTAAATTATAATTTTGAATTCATCAAGAGTGTGTTTGTATATATATATATATATATATATATATATATATATATATATATATATATATATATNACCATACCCCAAATTTGAATTGGCAATTTTTTATTTCTTTATTTTAGTTTTTTATTTAAAATAATTTTAAAACTCGAAATTGAAACTATTCTCCAACTTGAATAGGTAGGTTTTTTTAATTAATATTTTCATTTTTTTATTGTAGCTAATTTAATTTTTTTATTATTTTTTAATTTTAAAATAACTTTAAAACACCAACTATAAACTACTCCCCAATTTGAATGGGTAGTTATTTTTTTTATATTTTCATTTTTTAATATAGCTAATTATAATATATTTATATTTATTAATTCAAAAAGAGTAACTAATTAATTCAAAATTTAAAAAAGTTTTTTAGTTAAAAAGGTAGTTTATTTTGTCTTAACAATGACACTTGGCTTTTTGTGATTATGCCACTTGTCTTAATAATATGCTTTTGCCTCTCCTTTTATTATATATAGATTTTTTATATGTATTAGCTAAAAAAATAGTGTATTATCTAGAATCTCTTCCCCTTCCCTACAATTAACAACTATTAATATTTATTCTCTCTGTTCCAGTTTATGTGAACCTATTTCCTTTTTGGTCCGTTCCAAAAAGAATGAACCCTTTCTAAATTTGAAAACAATTTAGCTTAAACTTACAATTCTACTCTTAATGATAAGCTTTTATAACCACACAAACACTCTGGGGCCCTTTTTAACTTGTTTAGGACCACAAATTCCAAAAGTCTTCATTTTTTCTTAAACTCCGTGCCCAGTCAAACAGCTTCACATAAATTGGAACGAAGGGAGTACTAATTTTGCACCGGTTATTTTGATATTGCACCCGTTGAAATATATTGATGGCAAAATTCCGGGGAAGCGATTTTCAGAGTTTTGCGTTGTTTTATTTCACAAACCAAGTGAAGTCTATCTGTTCCTTGGTTATTCCCAGTATATCTTGTGAAGCCATTCCAGATGCAAAGTTGTTCCGGATCGCAACGTTGGTGTGCTATTTATCTTATGAATACCAGGTAGTTTCTAAGAATTCAAGAATAGGACACATTATTATTTTTTTACTTCACAAGATTTTATAAAGATTTTCTTATCTGGGATTAGTGTTCAGATTGAAGAATCATGTGTTTGTACTTGGATAGAAGAGTTCTTGTTGAATCAAACTGATCTTTTCTCTATTTCTCTTAAGCTGAGGTTAGCTTTTACCTTGAATAGTGCTTTACATCTTAAAGATGCTCAAAAGGGTTTTAAATTAGAAAGTGACAAAAGAATGTGTTTCGAAGGATTTTCAGAGTTGCCGCCTGATATTTGATTCCGGTGTGCCAGGTCACCGTTTATTTTTTTTAAAATAAGAATTTTCCTTCACAAACACATTTGACTCTAAAAACTGATTGCACCAGAAGTTCTAGGTAAGAGGGTTCATTTGACTCGGAAAAAAGGTGTTAGGCATTCCTCAAGTCCCGTGAAGGTCACGATTGCGTACATGATCTAGTTTAATAAAATTAAAGGGACTCTATTATGATTATACGAATCTAAAGATCTCAAAATGGAATAACGAGCTCTTGTGGTTTGAATCTCAGATATCTTCATTCTTTTGAAAATTTTTAATTAGAAAAGTTTCTATTTGAAATTCTAGGAGAATAAGACTATGGACTATGTTTGGATTATGATGTGCCTGATTCATTCTTTGTGTATAGGGAGTTTGATGGGATCTGATAAAGGGTGACAAGTGCACATTTTGAATATGTGTGTGTTATTTGTGTGAGTTGCGAGAGTTCTCACCGCTTTTAAAGTGAAAATATGCTCATTATATGTTTCTTATGTGCAGGAGCAAACTTGCGCGGAAAAGGATCAAATGGGAGAAGAAGTTGTGAAAAAAGAGTTGAAGAGAAAAGTCCGAGACATCTTTTTAATTACCATGCTTTTAGTTAGTAAACAATCAACTCATTATTCAATATTTTTGAAGGTTGATTACTTGAATTCTTGCGAAATTAGTGATTGTGATTAGTAGGCTAATTCCCTGTGGGATTCGACTCCAAACTTGTAAATCGGATTATATTTGCAATGATCGCTTGACCTCTTAGGAGGCATAGTTGGGCGTGATCATTATTTGGCACCGTTGCAGGGGAGTTAACGGTGTTATTAATTATGACTAGAAGAATCGCTAGAATTCGTAGTTTAGTCAGCTTTCTCGACTTGAAATTCATTATATTGAAACACTAACGTTTGTAGTCTTGTGTGTTACAAGTGCATTCCTAGAAACTCCTCATGCATTGGTGAATTGTAGGAAGCATTACCAGACCCTGAGAAAGCTTTCGAGGCACTAAATCGAGCAAACAAGAAAGACAAACGACAACAGAACTCAACAGAAGGAATCGAACTAGACATGGGGGACGTCAATGACAATCAAAACAACAGAAACAATGCGAATGACCCGAACAATCAGGATATGGCACTTCTTGTGCAGAAACAGCCTTGTATTATTAGGCACAACCCACCTCTGAAAATCTGGCAACCGCAAAAAGTCCCTCAGATACAAGCGGAATCATTTCAAATCACAAACAACATGCTACATTTATTGCAGAACAAGGGACTGTTCTCGAGGTCTTACAATGAATATCCTCAGCAGTATCTGAAAAAAATTTTTGTCGATTTGTGTCACGCAGACAAATGTGATATCGGAAGTAATAAGGTTGTTGTTGTTTCCATTCTCAATGATGGGAGAGGCTCAGACTTGGGAGGAATTAGTCAAGCAGTTTTTGAACAAATTCTACCCACCCAATAAGACTACCAAGCAAGTTGATGAGATATTGAGCTTCAGGCAGAAACCACCTGAAACATTGCAAGAGACATGGGACAGATTCAAAGGGATGTTGGTTAAGTGTCCACACTATGGCATTCCGAATCAGATATTGGGACAGATGTTTCACATGGGATTGGAAGACAGCTTGAAAGCCAATGTTGATGCTTCAACAGGCGGAGCATTTTTGAGCAAATCATTCAGAGAGTGTAAGGTTCTGCTTGATAAAATGGCTCAAAACTCATGATGGATGACAAGAGACACTATAATCACCCTTGTAGTTCACTCAGTAGCGCTGGATCCGAACAACTCCATAGCCGAGAATATTGCCACTTTAATGACTCAAATGAGTATCCTCACCAAGAAGATTGATGAATCATGCTAGAAGCAGGTACACATTGTTGATACGACTAATAGAGGATTATGCACAACATGCATTAACCAACCATATGTGTGCTCATGGAGCGGTACTACCAAGAAAATCTGAACTATGTGAGCAACTTTGGGGGCCAGATATAAGGTGGGCAGAATTGGGGATAGCAAAATCAGCAGTATAGACCAGCACAGTAGCAGTACAACTATAACAATAATAATCCTAGAGCTATACGACCACAGGATCAAGTTGTACCGTATCAAAGGCAACAGGGATACAATTAGAAGAATCAACAGTTAGGTTATTAACAACCTCAACAGCAACAGATAGAGAGACAAGATGATGGGTTGTTCGAAATTAAAGGAATGCTGCAACAGCTCATTGGGTCCAGCGGGAAGATGGAAGAAAAGGTCCACCAGCTGCAAGAAAAGGTAGTATCACATGACTCAGCTATCAAGGGCATTGAGGTTCAATTAGAGAAGATATCCATGGCTCTTAATAATCGTCCTACAGGGACATTACATGCAGACACACATATCAATCCTAAGGAGTAGGGCCCGAAGCAGTTGATGGCTGTAATTCTGAGAAATGGTAGAGATCTTGATCTAGAGCAAGAAATTGCTCGAGCAAGACGATCAACTGAAATACTTGTGCTAGTACCACTTGATATAGATGAGTCACTTGATTTAACAGAGGTAACAGTGCAACAGGCCCAAGAGGAAACTAGCAAAGAAAATGAGATGGCAAAGGAGACTTAGCAAGTGGAAGAGAATGTATCAGAAAAAGTGCCTAAGCATGATTCAACTCAAGTATAGGAAGGAAGCGACCTCCAGCACCCTTCCCGCAGAGGTTGGCTAAATATCAGAAGGATGAGCGGTACAAGAAATTCATGGCGATGTTGAAGTAGATTCAGGTGAACATTCCTCTGATAGATGTCTTACGAGAGATGTCAGGTTATGCAAAAATAATGAAGGACTTGATGTCTCGCAAGTTTAATTTTCAAGAACTAGCCACTGTCACATTGGCCCAGACTTATATAGTGCTGTGGTGGCAAGACCAGTATCTGAAAAGCTATCCGACCATGGAAGTTTCACAATTCCATGCACCATAGGCAGTTATGCTTTTGCTAAAGCATTGTGTGATTTATGGGTGAGCATAAACTTGATGCCATTGTCTATCTATAAAAGGTTAGGCATTGGAAGAGAAAAACCCACATCCATGTCACTACAGCTAGCCGACCGAACGGTTAAGAGGCCATCAGGTATACTTGATGATGTACTTGTGCAGGTTGGAAAGTTTATGTTCCCGGCAGATTTTGTCATTCTAGACTACCCGGTTGAAGAGGAGATTCCCATAATTTTGGGAAGGCCTTTCTTGGCCACAGGGAGAGCTCTGATTTATTGTGAAACTGGGGAGCTAAATATGAGACTAAACAATGAAGAAATAATACTCAATGTGCAGAAGTCTATGCGGCGACCCAGTGATTTTGCTAATTTCTCTCTGATTGAAGTAGTGGATGTGATTCTGGAGGAGGGAGATGAGGCACTGAATGCAAAAGACCCCCTAGCAGCCTGCCTCATGAACTTACAAGAGGCAGATGGTGAGGACTTGGCGGAGTGGATTTTGGTCCTTGAAGGCCAAGGGTACTGAAAAAAAGAGCTCGAATTCGAGCCTTTACACTTAGAAGAAAGAAAGACCCCTCCAGCTAACCATTAATTGAAGAGCCACCACAGTTGGAGATAAAACTATTACTGTCTCACCTCAGGTAGGCTTTCTTAGGACCGAACTTAACTTTACCCGTTATTATCTTATCTGGTTTGTCAGATGTGCAGGTAGAATAGCTTTTGCAAGTTCTGAAGGTAGAATATCAGCCCAACTTTTTGTATGCATAAGATTCTACTGAAAGATGGGCATGTAACGATCCGGCCGGTCATTTTTAGAATTTATGCCCCGATCCCCTATTAACTGCCTTCCCCGTGTTTATTTTTGCCATTTTGAATTGCCGGGATGTTCGGTTTTGAGTTTCGGAGAGTTTTAGGACACTTAGTCCCTAAATGAGAGTTTGAGATTTGGGAAATTTGACCGTAGTCGGAACAGTGTGAAGACAGCCTCGGAATGGGTTTTCGATGGTTTCGTTAGCTCCGTTGGGTGATTTCGGGCTTAGGGGCGTGTTCGGATTGTGTTCTGGAGGTCCGTAGCTAATTTAGGCTTGAAATGCCGAAAGATGGATTTTTGAAGTTTCCGGTTCGATAGTGAGATTTTGATCCGAGGGTTGGAATGGAATTCTGGAAGTTGGAGTAGCTCCGTGGTGTTGAATGTGACATGTGTGCAAAATTTCAGGTCATTCGGACGAGGTTTGATAGACTTTTTGATCGAAAGCGTATTTTTAGAAATTTGGAGTTCCTAGGCTTGAATCCATGGTTAATTTGAAGTTTCGATGTTGTTTTAGGTGTTTTAAGGATTGGTACAAGTTTGGATAGTGGTATTAGACTTGTTGGTGCCTTTGGTTAAGGTCCCGGGGGCCTCGGGATGATTTCGGATGGTTGACGGGAGGTTTTAGAGTGGTTTGAAGCAGCTGAAGCTGCTGGTATCTGTCATAACCGCACCTCCGGTTTGGGTTCCGCAGGTGCGGCGCCACAGAAGCGTCTCAGTAGCCGCAGAAGCGGGAATGGGGAAGTTCAGTAGGAACTGCAGAAGCGGTGGAATTTCCGCAGGAGCGGTACCGCATCTGCGGAAGGGGAGTTGCAGAGCGGAAATTGGCCCTTAAGTGATAAGTCGCAGATGCGACCTTTGTTCCGCAAATGCGGGACTGCAGAAGCGGTCCCAAGGCCGCAGATGCGGAAACAGCTGGGCAGCAATGTTTTAAAAGAGGTTTCGCGACTTTGGGGTTTATTTCCACCATTTTTAATCGTTTTTGGAGCTCTTGAAGGGGATTGAAGAGGGATTCGAGAGGAATCACTTGGAGGTAAGATTCTTGGTCTTAAAACTCGTTTTTTATGTGAAAACTATCTAGTAAATCATGGAATCTAGGCCTAAAATTGAAGAATTAGGGCTTGAGATTAAGACACTTTAAAATGAGAATTTGAGGGGTCATTTGGACTCCGATTTCAGTGTTCTTGGTATGTACGAACTCGTGAGAGTGTGAGGATTCTGGAAATATAAAGTTTACCCGATTCCGAGACATGGTCCCGAGGGGCATTTTGGTCATTTTACCTAATTTCGCATATTAGCTTAGAATTTCTTTGTAGAATCAGTTATTTGAAGTGTTATTTACATTATGCAATTGAATTAAATAGACTTGGGCCATTTGGAATCGAGTACTCGTGGCAAGAACGTGGTCTCGGGTTGATTATTAAGCCGGTTCGAGGTAAGTGGCTTGTCTAACCTTATGTGGGGGACATTTCCCCTTAGGATTGATATTGTGATAATTGAAATGCCTTGTACGTGAGGTGGCGAGTGCATACTCTTGCTAATTTTTGGAAATCCGTTTTTTCATTAAAAATAGCCTTAAATTGTGTTCTTCCTTTTTCTTGCTTGCACCATTTGGGAATTTAGCCTGCTGTTAGTCTAGAGAAGCATGTCTGATTGACTAAATTGCTCTATTTGCCTTAACTGCCTTATTTGTATTACGTGAAGCATGCTAGGTTAGAATTATCTATTTTGCCATGGTATGAAGTTGAGCTTAATTTGAGAAATTCCTTTTTGCTATTGTTGTGCGTTTATTTTGGGGCTACGGGAAGGCATCTCGGGAGACCCCCGTACGTATTCATGATCGAGCTGAGGTGAGGGATATCGAGAGATCCCTGGCACATATATTGAGGATACTAAGAGATCCTCGGGATACCAAGAGATCCCTGGCATATATTGAGGATACCAAGAGATCCTCGGGATACCAAGAGATCCCTGGTATATATTGAGGATACTAAGAGATCCTCGGTTATTATCCTTGTGTTTGTTTTGCCTCTGTATCAGTTGTAGTTATCTATATCATGTGATATTTTTTACTGTTGCACTTATTTATACTGCTCTTATATCTACACTATTGAACTTTATATTATTATTTAATCTCAGTAGGGCCCTGACCTTCCTCGTCACTACCCGATCGAGGTTAGGCTTGGCACTTACTGAGTACCGCTGTGGTGTACTCATGCCCTTCCTGCGCATATTTTTTTTCATGTGCAGATCCATGTACCTCTACTCAGACTTACCATCCTTGAGGCGAGGCGATATTACGGACACTTCGAGGTATATCTACTGCGTCCGTAGACCGAGGAGTCTCTCTCCATTCTCTCTTATAGTGATTAGCCCTTTTATCTTTACTGTTGATGTAGACTTTCCGGAGTTAGAGCATTTTACTATATTCGTAGCTTGTGATTCATGGGTTTCGGGGTTTTGGGAACATGTATGAGTTTTAAGAGTTAACGTTGTGTATTCCGGGCGGCACTCTTAAACGTTGTTTATTTACTTTATCTCTGCTTTAACTTATTTTTCTTCCGCAAATTTGGTTTATTTTCCGCATTTTAGGCTTACCTAGTCGTAGAGACTAGGTGCCGTCACGATGGTTCACGGAGGGCGAACCGGGGTCGTGACAAGTTGGTATCAGAGCTCTAGGTTCATAGGAGTCATGAATCACAAGTCGGTTTATTAGAGTCTCGCTGATCGGTACGGAGACGTCTGTACTTATCTACGAGAGGCTATGTAACTATTAGGAAAATTCCGCTTCGTTTGATTTCCTTGTCGTGCGAGATTTTTGATATCACAATTCTAAACTTCTGTCTTCTATTCTCTCACAGATGGTGAGGACACGTTCTACTCGAGATGATCAGGCACCCGCGCACCCTACTGGAGACGTTAGGGCGTGGCCGGGGTAGAGGTCGAGGACGCGCTCGTGGTGCAGCCAGAGCACCCGCACGAGCTGCCGCCGAGGTACCACCAGTAGTACCAGCCGGAGCTCAGACACCTGATGCGTCTGCTACTACTTCTCCAGCACTCCAGGAGACTTTGGCACAGTTTATGACTATGTACACCACTCTAGCTCAGGCAGGGTTGCTTCCCCTTGCTGCAGCTACATCCCAGGCCAGGGGAGGAGCACAGACTCCTTCCGCCCGCATTCCTGAGCAGCGAGTGCATATTGATCAGGTTCCAGAGGCTATTCCTGTACAGCCGGTAGCCCCAACTCAGCCCGAGGAGAGGGCAGTAGCTTCAGAGGAGGAGCAGAAGAGGCTTGAGAGGTTCAAGAA